AAGTCTAGCAGTAAATATAGAGCTTTTATGGTTGGGGAATTAGAGTAATCCTAATCCACACAATATTGAACTGAAAACATTATCCACTTTAATCTGCACATAATCTGCATGATCTAATTATGGTACGTATCCAAGCATCTATTTGCCGTATATTTCTTTAAAACAAAACTTAATTCATGTTAACATACTGATAATTAACCATAGTTTTATTATTGTATTGTAATTTTTGTAAATTACCATTTGTATAACTACAGTTTTATTACAAATACAAATATGGTTAAAAAAGTGGTTGTCAGTGTTGGGGAAAATTACTTTAGAAAGTAATGCTTTACAATATTGAGTTACTCCCTAAAAAAGTTATTAGTTGCGTTACTTAGTTGCTTTTTATGGAAATTAATGGGTTATGTTACTTTTTTATTACTTATCTGAGGCTTGATCTCTTTCAGATCTTGTTTTGTTTTCTTTATTTTTTAGTAGAGGAGCTCTGCAATTAGCAATGTGCTGTATAACCTACACCTTCATGTACCTTTAAAAAAACACAAAGTTTATATATATATATATATATATATATATATATATATATATATATATATATATATATATATATATATATATAGTATATTGTTATCTGAGAACTTCCTAACCCCAGAGCTCTACATGTCGTATATACAGATTATTGAAAGTTTAAAGCAATGTATTTGCTACTATTTGTCTCAAGTAAAATCACTGTTCATTGAGACAATCCCCTTTTCCTCTTCTTTGATGTGTTCAAAATAATGAATACCTTCTCTTAATGACTGTGTGTTTCATCTTGACTAATTATAATTCAGCAATTTATTTTTTCACTTGTGTTACATTTTCAAAAAAGTAACAACTATTATGACCCAATTTTTTTAAAATAATACTTGTTACAAGTAGCAATATTACGTAACTCGCATTAATTGAATTGCATTACCCCCAACCCTGATCATGGTTTTACTACAAAAGCCATGCGTTTTGTTTGTATTAAAAGCATTATTTATTTGGTTATGGCTAGGTTGGTTTTCGAATTGTTACTCACTATAAATCTCTTATTCACAAACTATTAGCAAATCCCTCCAGTCACATTAATATTGAATTACATGTTCCTTACAGTTTCTTCTCAAACTGTATGAAAAAGTAATGACGACAAAAGGTTTTTCATTGTCGACTTTGTCAGAGAATGTTAGTGAAATAGTGTGGAAGACGCCGTTTGACTTGAAGGCTGTTGAGCTAAACTTCCTACCCAAATCATTTTAGCCAAATCTGCTGTAAAAATCTAATAATTTAAAAATGTTTCATAGTTTGAAATTCATATGTTGATAATTGTATATATCTTTCTCTTTTAAAGGGCACCAAAAAGCTTGAATGGCCACAATAAATTATCTGATGTTTATTCTGAAATTAAACTTTACAGACACATTCTGGACACACCAAAGGCTTATCTTACATCTTGTAAAAGAGGTCAAATAGATGCCCTTTAAAAAAAAAAATATTGCCAACCATGTGACAATTTCCAATGTTCAGTGCAGGAAATCTAACACAATCTCACGGCAATTCGTAACTTTTAATTTAGTGGCTAATTTGTATGAATTTGCATGATCTAATTCCTACAATTTAGTACGATTTGCTCATCAACCAATGGTGGTGGGGTTAGTTGCCACGCCTTTTTTTTAAAACTGTACATTTTCGTACAACTCAACTCATATACGAATTAGCCACTAAACTGACCAAATGTAAAATACTTACATTTCCTCGTGTAATCAGGCTGAAGAAATCATATACAAACAAACTTACTAAAATTAACACTAAAAAGCAATACATAAATGCTAATAATAATGCTTCTTAAGTTCTAAATGCAACTGATCAATCTTTCTTTTGTTGCTCTTGATAGTAACCTGATCAAAAATTACTGTTTAATTTAGACATATTTTTATTGCAAATGTAGTCACAACAACAAAGATAAACACTGAAAAACCCATAATATTTTTTGTGCAAATTATATAGTTTTGCATGCACACACATTTAAAAAAAAAATCTATACTAGTTTTGGTAAAAACATGCACTCGTTTTTCATATTATTTGAATTATATGTACACGGCACATAATGGGCCCGTGTTTCCTTTCCAAATATTATTGAGAACGTTCTAGTCTATTCTAAATAAACATAAAATCACTTACAAAGCTACCACATATTCTAATATCATATATAAATTATATAAATAAATAAACAAATAAATAAATAATGAGGCTATTTATTAGGAAATTAAAATGTATATTTATTATTTATTAGGAACTGAAAAAATCCTACTTTAATAATAATATTAATAATGATGATTATTATTATTATTAAGTAGGATATTGTTTATTATTTAAAAGTCTACTTTTACAATTTGACACATTCAAACCACTGCAGAAATGTTCTAACCAACAGGCCCATGTCATATACAGTACAGATACTTAATAAATAACCTACTATAAATGAAAAGCATTAACGTATTCTATTGTTTTTTGTTTTCACAAGCATTGGAGCTTAACATAAATTCCGCTTTTAAATAATAGGTCACCTATAGCTTTCGTCATGAGCCAGGGCTGTTTAAAATGGCATCAATGTTTTTAAAGTGCACTCCAAAGGAAACGCAATTGTCAACATGAAGATCGCTAAAACTGAACTGTGAAAATTGTTTGAAAGCAAATTACACCTAAGAGAGATGGCTTTAATGTTTTTTTTTATCGTTCTAAGTTTAAATGTTAGAATGTTTTAAATGAATAGAGCATAGGGGGGATAACTGGGAATAGAACACAGCCAGGAACTATGTTTCTAACTATAGATGTGTAGTTGCAAGCATACAAGTCTGCAATGCAGTTTGCGAATGTTCATTGGAACGATGGATTTGGGAATGCCAAATCAATGAACTATGACTAACGACGGAACTTGCGACTTTACTTGGCTAATGATGGTTTTCGGAAACGCACCCCAGGTTTGGAAAAAGTTAAGGGTGATCAGTGGTGGAAAGAGTACTAAAAAAATAATACTTAAGTAAAAGTACCATAATTTGCCTAAAAATGTAGTGCAAGTAGAGTAAAAGTATCTGTTGTAAATATTACTCAAAAGTAGCCCTTTCAAAAGTACTCAAGAGTAGTGAGCAGTGAGTATTATGCTGTAAGAAGCTGATGCATTTACGTGTAATTTGTGGATGTGTGTAAACGTAACATTCTGTTGTGCATTTAGTTATAACTTATTGCCTAGCAGCCACACAACATCATAAGATGCTAATATTAGGTTAGATTTAGGTCGTAATGTCAGGTCACCAAAATTCAATGTCTACCCAGCATCTAAGGACAACATTATTTTGATGTCCAATAACAACGTCAATGACGTTGATATTTAGTTGACTTTAGGTTTTGTTAGAAATTAACCAAAATCCAATGTCCAGACAACGTTTTAAACCAACGTCATATTGACGTCAATTACTGACATTTATTCGTCAGGTATGGCAATCAAAATCTTACATCAGATAGATGTCATAGTGGTAATGTCCACTTAACCTCAAACTGTAACATCATTAGACGTTGATATTTGGTTAGATGTTTTCCAATTCCCATAGACAAGAAAAAATAAAGTGGTGACTGCAGATCGAAAGAAAAGTAGTGGAGTAAAAGTACCGATAAAAATGTACACAAGGCAAAGTAAAAGTACACATTTTTAAAACTACTCAGTAAATTACAATTCCTAAGAAAAACTACTCAATTATAGTAGTTTGAGTATTTGTTAGAATGATGACGGAAGTTTCAGTTTTGGGTGAACTATCCCTTTAAATGATTATGGTATTAAAAAAGAAAACATAATAAATAAACAAATAAATAAATAATAAAAATAGATACACTAAAAAAACTGAGTAATTTATATAACCCAATGGTTGAGTTAAACATATTTGGTTCTTTGTTGGGTTATTTTTTAACCTTTATTAGTTTATTTATTAATAACTCAACCAGTTGAGTTAAATATTTGGTGCTATGTCTGGTTATTTTTTAGCTTTATTTGGTTATTTATTTAATAGCTCAACCAGAAGGGTTAAAACTTTGAATTTCTGCTATCAACTGATTTAACTGTCTACAAACAGCTGTATTATGTGTGTGTAATGTTGTTTTTGCGTGATAACGTTTATTTAAGCTATAATGCACTAATATTGTTGTTGTTGTTTTTTTTATCAAATAACAACTCCGTATAGTGTTTTTTAAAATCCGTTTCACCATCCAAGACCATCTTTTAGAAGCGTTTGTATGTGGTTAAAATGTATTGTACATTATGGACACTGAGTGGAGCCTGCTGCAGCTGCCGGTCTCTACCGCACACAGAGCTCCACGTTCTGCTCCATCAACACACGATATTCTGCTTGCTCAGATTATAACTTTCTGTTCTTTGTTTTGTTTCTTCATTGTTTGTAATTTTTGATTTGTTTTAACAAAAGTTTAATGGAAATAAAGCATTTTCAATATTTTTGAAAACCGTGTTATTTGTTTACCCAGCCACAATTATTAAATTAATAGTAGTACTAGTAATAGTAGCAATAGTAAAAATATAACATTTAATCAAAACAACCCAATGCATTGGGTTTAATTATATAACCCAATGTATTGGGTTAAAATAACCCATAGTTGGGAAGGTCCCATAGTTGGATTATATGTTGGGGTATTTTTAACCCAACTATTTTAACAGTGTAGATAATAAAAATAATAGATAATATAAATAATCATATTTTTGGTGAAAAAACAATCAGGATTGAATTGTCTTTTGCACTTTTCCCCCATAATAATAAAATTATGTCTTGGTTGTTTGCATAGGGTAATTAATTATATTCAATTATTACTTTGAATGTTTGAATGAAAAGAACCTACTGGTATTTCATAATCTGCTTAATGGGGAAAAAAAACAAATCAAAATATTTGTACTTAAATCTCGATCGACTCCTTAAACTTGATTTAAAAATTCTCCCTCAAATCCTAGACTTCCAGCCCGCGCCAGGTTTCACCACACACACCTTCCTTTCTTCTTTCCTTCCTTTTCCTTCTCCCAGAGAGAATCCATCTGAATCCCGCTCTCTGGAATGCGCGCTCCAGCTCCAGCATTCCTGCCTCCTCCTCGACATCACATCCGGGTCACTCGGCAGTCAGCGAGCGTGCAGTCGCGCGTGCTCCTCCATCCATCCGTCCATCCAGTGGCGTTTGTGCTGCTGCAGCTCCGCGCAACATGGACCCTCAGAGCGGCGGCCAGACGCGGACGATCTGACGCGCCTCCGGGACCTGCGATCTACGCCACGCGCCGGGGCAGGGATGAGGTGCAGTCCGGCAGACGCACACTGCTAGGCGAGTCGACGAGCGTCAGCGATGTCAAAGAGTCTGAAGAAGAAGAACCACTGGACGAACAAAGTCCACGAAGCGCTGCTCGGCAGGAACAAGGAGGGCGAGCTGGGGTTCGACTTGAAAGGGGGCGCCGAGAACGGCAATTTCCCGTATTTCGGGGAGGTGAAGCAGGGGAAGGTGGCCATCCAGAGCGGCAAGCTGTCCCAGGACGAGCTGCTGCTGGAGGTCAACGATACGCCGGTGGCAGGGCTCACCATCAGGGATGTGCTGGCCGTCATCAAGCACTGCAAAGACCCGTTCCGACTAAAGTGCGTGAAGCAAGGTGAGGAGAAACATCAGCCGCCGTTTCTTTCTACGTGTGTAATGTGTGAATGTGTGTGTGTGAGAGAGAGACCACCGCTGTCTGGAGCTGCTGTCTGCACATTATTATTATTACAACGGATCCTGTTTACACACAAAGGTGTTTTCAGATCTGGTTTGGTGATCGATTGTGGCCGCAAGCGTTGTATTGTCAGCTGAAGTTACTATAGAGCGGATTGTCATATCGACGTGTCAATGCAAATTGGAGCTTTGTTAGGATTCTGAGGACTGTGGTGTTGTGGTACGGTGAGGGGTGTGGGGTATTTTTCAGCCCGTGTTGGAGATATTTTGGCCCCGCGGGTCTGCCATAGGCGAACTGGGCGAACATTTGAATGCGATTTCATTGATCTCGTAAAATGCACGTTGGATGTGGCAAGCGGTTTGAACATTAGCTCATTAGCAACTATTGTTACCTTACGCTATTTTCAAACATTTTGTAGTCTACGAGAACAAATCGTTAACAAAAGCACGTTTTCAAAAGTTTTTTAAAGCCTCATTCACACTACCAGTGACTTTTTAAATGCCTTTTACCCTGGTTGACAATTGCAGTTGCCACGGTTGTGTAGGCTATATATATGATAACAAGCCAAGTATATAAAAATGATATAAACATTTTAATAGGTATGTGACAAAATTGTTTTGGTTATGTGTAAACCTAATCAATATATACACACATTATTTTATGTCAAAACAAACATATACTTTGGATGTAATAATTCTCGATTAGGGCTGTGCGATATGGGCAAGCAAAAAAAAAAAATCTTGATTTTCTTGAGTAAAATTGCGATTTTGATTTTATTTGCGGTTTTGTTAAAGGGTCACGAAACACCAAAACACATTTTTTGAGCTGTTGACAGTCGTATATGTGTCCCACACTGCTAAAAACACTATTAGGACACCTATATTTCACTAAAAAGTGTAAATTGGTTGTTTTGCGTTATTTCAAGCAAATTTGTACTTCCTGTTTGAAACGAATTTTTGAAGCTGCGTCACGGTCATGACATAATAGCGTGTGTTCCAGCGTGCAGACTGGGCGTCTGTGCCTGAGTGAGTCTTATTACGTCTTACAGTGTGTTGCATTAATGCATGAGTAAGGCTTGGTTCAAACCAATCAGCGCGCTCTATTGTGCAACTTCATTAATATTCATTTGTGTCACCGTGCTTACACCACAAAGACGCCACGTTGTGTTGGCAAAACAAGCGTGAAGTGTTGCTTTTATAGTTTGCTGCCGTTAAGTTTCGTTTTCATTTGTTATTTCACCGGAATAACACACGCGGCTTTCTGACACTACCTGCAAGGGCATCTAAGTTACCGGGACATGCAGAGGTTTTTTTTTCTCTCATTCACAGTGCGGTATCAAACATTGCATGAAAAATACATGCTTAGATCAGTTCCTTGAATCAAATATCTCATTTGTTGCGAGAGGCATGAATGAATTCCCTGAATGAAAGAGCCAAACTGCAGTTAAAGTCCAACATTTAATAATTTGGCAAATAATTCGACTACAGATGTCCATGTAGGTTAAACACCATCACTTTCTCCTGTCTGTGTGGGTGTGTATTTTGACTCTGAAACTCGCGCGTGCACAAATAGACACTCCCACACCATCCCACTTTAGTTCCTCCGACACTCCCCCCGAAACAGAGCTGGACACGCCCACTTTTCTGACTTTTTCCAAAGTAGAGGTGTGAAAACACCCTGCTGAAACGAGGGGGTTTCATGGTCCTTTAAACACTGTTTGTGTTTTACAGTGTAAAACTGTTAACAATTAGATCTTTATCAAAGACCTGTAACATGTTTCTAAAACAGACATAAAGCAAAAAAAATCACCTATTAAAGCTGTAACAAATAGTCTCTAGAACAGACCTATGGCAAAATCAAATAAATAGACTACAATGTGTGTGTGCGTATGTCAGAAGTAGTTGCATGAAGTTTTCTACGGGTCAACAGATTTTTTTGCCATGCATAGATCATAGACCTTTTTGTGATGCTGCTGTGAAGTAGTCCGTTCGCATATCGCGTCTTTTGCTTGCACAAGTTTATTATTTCCAATGGAAACGCACAGCTTGAGTGCATATTGGGAGTGACGCGCTTGTGTATTCCAGGCTCATCGAGTTAACTTTTCAGAATGTTGCACCACGAGTCACGTAACAAGAACTGATCGATCAGCTTCATACTTTGTATGGGATCTAAACACAGAGCACCCAAACACCCATTGCGTTTTTGTTTCTCCATAAATAAAACTTGTAGGGGTGTCAAAATGAATTGTTTCTAAGGTGCATGTGATGCAGATGATTCGGTATCGGTTTAGTAATAATCATTACCGGTTATTATGTACTGACGTCATTTATCTCAAATGCGCTATGTCATTTACAACGCTCCAACTACTTAAAAATGCAGAAACTGCACAATTCACTGCGTGTGTGTTTGCTGGACAGTCTTTTACTGACACTTACAGCAGAAGCCCCTATTTCACTGCAATTGAGAGAATGAAAGCACTCCTTTTCTCTTTCTCTCTCACTGTGGCCCATTTGACCTGCTAACGTGACTTTTCCCCTCCTCTCGACTGTTACAGCGATACTTCTGGATACAAGCATGAGCGTGTGTCTGCAGAGTGATTTTTTTCTCCACCCCATCTATCATGGATTAGCTGTGATTGCCGCTGACACGTTAGAGCCAATCGCAGCCCTTTCAGTTGAGCGTGTGACCAGTCATAGAGGTGTAAGAAAGAACTCGCTAGACAAAGCTCAGAAAGCGAGCGAGACATTTAGATTTGTTTATTTGCTATATATGCTCATGTTGTTCTGTGCATGTTCTTGAGTTTTTAAAAGTACAGTTTATATTTATTTCTGTTTGTATTAAAGGGCAAAATTGTATTACAAATAGTAAATAAATATACTTATACATTTTACAAGAATTGCTGCTGTGAAGAAAATATAGAACTGTGTATGGAAAGCATCATCAATGTACCAGGATGCATCGAGATATCGAATTGAACCGAACCAATGACATGATTATCGTAACTGAACCGTGAGACCAGTGTAGGTTCACACCTCTAAAAACTTGTATCTGAACTGCAGGAATGTTCTGTTAGTTTGTCTTTCTCTGAGAAAACGGTTGATGGTCGCCTATAGCAACAACAAAAGACTAAGGAGCGCAATGCTGAAGGAATGACTCGCTCGCGCTTTCCACATGCTTTTATACGCGATATGTGTCTGACAGGTGTTACACATTACCTGATTCTAATTCAGCCTTCCTGTATCCAAAGTAATCCCACACCACAGATGTAGCCAGGACACAACAAGCCAGTGGCAAACAACTAGCGCAGATGAAAACCAACTATGTTGCCGGCTCATGTCTTGACCATAAAGCTGTGAATGAACACACCAAACAGACAGCTGCTGACAGAAATGAGAGCGTAGCTGCAGCCGTAGAACACGGCCTGTTTGCTCATTCCAAAAAGGGAAACCAGAACATCCAGTGCAAGCAAACAAAAAGTAAACAGCGCTGTTTTTAATACTGTTATCACAGCAATTGTCTTACAATAACTCTTATAATTCATATTGTTTGCAAAAATTTTTTGTGAAATTACCATCGGTTTAATTCGTCTCGTCGAATTGTTTACTTTGTTACGTCAGTTACATTTTTGATTTTGTGCATTTTGTGCTCAATCTAATGTTAACCTGATGAGAGTTGATGTGTGGCGCACACCTGGAAGGTACGAGTCGCCTGCTGCAGCTGCCAGGAAAGTCTCAAGACACACACATACATCACTCAACCTACTCATGTCAGTTGCATTGCTTTACTCCAATTCATTAATTCTCTCACATGGCATCATGGGATAGTAAAGTGTCCATTGAACGTGCACTATAGGGATGCAACGATTTACCGGTTTCACTATTAACCGTGCTTTAATTCATCATGGTTAATTAATCGTAAAGGCTTCTCAGCACCGCGTTTCTGCACAGAACAAAACTGCTGCAACAAAAAGTCATGCCGTGCCAACTGTGCGCTAATTTGTTGTTGAGACTAAGAACCACGCGTACTAGATAAACTATGACTGAGGCTATTATTGACTAAGACAAGCTAGTGCAAGTTCGTTATTTCCAATGGAGGGACGCGCGCATGACGCAGCGTGCTCACGCTTTTCAGGCGCTCCTCGTTGGGATGACGGGGCATTTGTGACCGCAGGAACTACAAACGGCTGAAGTCAAAGTATGAAGCAGTACATAAAATGTACACAGGTTTGTAAACCAATTTTAAGTTACAAATAATGGTGCCGATAAGAGCAATCATGATGTGGTGAATGTTGATCCACTAGCCGAGATCAACCGAGTGATTTCAGAGAGATTGCTGAAAGACTGAGTGGATCAGCTGTTTAATGGCCTGAATCTCGATGCGTTGCATTCACAGCTTGTTCAGTGCAAATGTCCGTTAAATGTTAAACACTAAACTAGGGATGCTCAAAATAATCTATTAACCGTTAACCGAAAGGCTGCGTTTGTGACCGATTAATGCTATCAGTTAAACGATTAAAATTATTATTTTATATATTTTTAGTTTGACTGCATAAGGGGCCGATTAAATGTGCCTTTGCGTTAAGAGGGGCATCTTTTGCACGCCGCTCATCCCAGAGCAGCAGTTTGTGTTGTCAAGACAACTACAGAGAACTTTTAAAGAGTTTGGTTTCCGCTCTACATTCATTCTTCCATGGCGGGGACCAAAATGCATCCCGCCACGGCTACATTACCCTTTCAAAACATTCAGTTATTGTTGTTGTTTTTAATAGCGGATTATAAACGCATCAAAACGTATTAAAAGGTAAGTGGATTATAACAGCGCAAACTTTTCTGTAACCGTATAGTGCTGTGCGCTATCTGTTTAATCCTTTGGGGTTACGTGCTGACACCTGACAGGTTCGCAATGCGTGAGGCCAGCAAACACGCAGAAGCTTTCAGTTA